AGATTAGGTGAGAGAATCTTACCTTTATTTTATGAGATAGGTATATTAAACGACAGAGAGAGAGAGAGAGAGAGAGAGGCGGACAGAGAAAAATGGACCTAAGGACAGACAGAAAATGATACACAGACACAAACAAGAGCCAGACAGACAGAAAGACAGACAGACAAAGAGAGCCAGACAGACAGACAGACAGACAGACAAAGAGAGCCAGACAGACAGAAAGACAGAGACAGACAGACAAATAAATAGACAGAAAGACAGAGATAAACAAAAAGAGAGACGGGCAGACATACAAAGAAAAAGAGAGTGGCAGATAAACTGACAGACAAAGAGACAGACAGACCAGGGCCGGATTCAGGAGTGGGCAAGGTGGGCAGCTGCCCAGGGGCCTCCACAATCTGGGGCCTCCACATATTACAATATTTTATTTATTTGTTTATTCATTTGGATTATTTTTATTTTCATTCTTTAAACTTCATGTTTATGTATCACTTTTGTGTGTGTGTGTCTTTTGAATTTGTACACTATCAATAAATATATAGTTAATTAAAAAATTCTCAATGTTCTAATTTCCTCAATATAACTGCATATGGCTTCAAAAGTGTTCAAATTTAAAAATTTTCCCGGGGGGCTTCCAGCGCCCCCCGGAACTCCCAGATGTTTAGGCTCGCTTCACTCGCCACCCCACCCTCTTGGGTAGTTATAATGAGGGGGGCCTTCACAAAGAGGCTGCCCATGGGCCTCCACAGGTATAAATCCGGCACTGAGACAGACAGACAGACATACTGACAGACAGACAGACAGACTAACATTTCCCTGTATCCCGGGGTATACTGTACTGTAAACACACACACACACACACACACACACACACACACACACACACACACACACACACACACCGCTCATAACGTTACAAAAACCATCACATTCCCTAATTGCTCACTCCTGTTATTTTTAACTCCACCAACGTGTAAAAGTGGGATGTGCCACGCAAACTCATCACTATACCGGGAGAGGAGGAGGATGGGGAGGGATGACAGGAGGGAGGCAGGAGTGTGTGTGTGTGCAAAGGAGGTAGATGTGAGGAGGTGAGGCTGCCCGAAAGGAAATAAAGCATCTCATCCTGCATGCAGCCAACAAAAATAATATATATATATTATGTTATTATTATTAAAAGTATATATACATATATATATATATGTTACATGGCATATATATATATATATATAGCGTCTCAGTAGTGAAGGTTAGGTTAGGTTAGGTTAACACTTAAAGACCTTAGTTGTTGAAGCGCAGTAATAACGTCCTCCCCTAAACGCCCACACCCACCACCTGCACCATCCATCTGTCGTAAACCAAACCTAATTATCTGGCAATTCTCTCCACACGTCATGAAGAGTTAGATGAGGAAAGTAATTAAATACACACGTAGACAACCTCACCTTCATCCTACCGCCGCGTCCCTAGAGATTACTCATATGAAAACAATAATAATATGTCAATGAGTCAAGAGTACGATGCCACAAAACTGAGTACCGAAACTGAACCCTTTGAGTACGATAACTTAACCTCTTAAATACGATAACTTAGTTTCTTGAATATGATGACTTATGGGGTTAAGCCAAATCCCACCCACCCCCCCACCTCCCCCAACCCCAACCAACCCCTCTCCTCTCCCACACACAGCCCTCCCACTCCCTCCTTCCCCACTCACCGCCCGGTCAACTTTCCAAGACTGATTTTCAGGTATGAAGTTTAAAAGAAGTTTCAAATGACACTTGACCTCGTCCCTCACAAGACAACTTTTAGGCTGGCAGCCCCTCGAGGAGTTCTCAGAGGGGGGAGTTGGGGGCCTCTGCAATTCACTCTCTGTATTTGACCAACGAGAGGAAGTTCTTGAGGGGCTGTAGACGAGAGAGAGAGAGAGGGTGCTTGAGTTTCTTCGAAGAAATTTCTGAAAGAAACCCGCTATACTGAATCAACCAGCTCTACAAGACTTCCAATCAGAAGAGGAGAGAGGTGGAATCAAGGACACACACACACACACACACACACACACACACACACACACACACACAAAGATAACGAGAGAGAAAGAGAGAAACAAACAAAGAGAAATTGAAAGAGATAAAACAGACAATATTGGGTTAAATTTTCCTCAGACAACAACACGATAGAAAACGAATATATATAAAAAAATAATAAGACTCTGAGAGGATAATAATAAAACTCTGGTCTTCTCACCTGTGACACTGAGGCGCTATTGACAACAGGTAAAACCAGAGAGGGGAGAAAAATGATGACTCAATCTATATGATAATCTGGGAGTAGCATCACTCAGCCTCTGTACAGATTGGCTTACGAATCGGGATAATCTGTGGGGACGGGACGGGAGGGGGGAGGGGGGAGGGGCAGATTCTCATGGACCCTTAGGTTAAATTTCTTCAGGCGTCTATAGCTCCTTAAGGTAGAGTCTCAGCGTAATTATGATGCCATATTTAGAACTAGAACTTACCGCCGTATTTTTTTAAGGATTCGTAAGTTGAATTTGTCCTCTTACGTAACAAAATCCAAAGATGGCGACAATATTTCCCCCTGACGCTGTCGAAACAAAGTGAGTTCTCTGATTCCTAATTAGTGGAGACAAATAAACTCAACGTAGGAACTTTTTGAGAATCTAGGGACAGGATTCACCAATAATTAACATGTTAATTTTCTCCTCTAACTTAGGCTGAGAGTCAGTAATTAATTATGCTAAAGTCTCCATGTAATTCCAGTGCCAATTTGGGTCGTCAATTTTACATTTTGATTCAGTAGATTCGAGTTATATCTTACATCATATACGAGAAATTCTAACTTGCAGTACGAACCTTTGAGAATCCTGCAGTCGTGAGCTGTGTGTCTCATATTTTAAGACGAGGATCAGAGTTAAGGAAGTTATCTTTGTGTTAGATGCTGTCATACATCACCGTATACAAGGAGAGATTAACGTGGTGGTAACACACACACACACACACACACACACACAGTGTTAAACAGAGGTGAACAGAGGTGAACAGTGCTTAAGTCAGTAAGAACAACTCAACAGTAACAGTCGTACCCAAGTTAACCTTCACACAGTGAGGTCCCAGGTACCCAGTGATAACGACCCGTGAGACCCAACAACAACCAGCGATGTGTTTATCCGTCTACGATAGGAAGGCCTAAGACCAAACCTCACTCATATAACACCATCTGTGAGGGAATTACTACACCACATGTCCCTCATAACACCATATGTGAGGGAATTACTACACCACATGTCCCTCATAACACCATCTGTGAGGTAATTACTACACCACATGTCCCTCATAACACCATCTGTGAGGTAATTACTACACCACATGTCCCTCATAACACCATATGTGAGGGAATTACTACACCACATGTCCCTCATAACACCATATGTGAGGGAATTACTACACCACGTCAAGTCCCTCATCACACCATCTGTGAGGGAATTACTACACCACGTCAAGGTCCCTCATAACACCATCTGTGAGGGAATTACTACACCACGTCAGGCCCCTCATAACACCATCTGTGAGGGAGTTACTACACCACGTCAGGAATTACTACACCACTGTCCCTCATAACACCATATGTGAGGGAATTACTACACCACGTCAAGTCCCTCATAACACCATCACACCATGTGAGGGAATTACTACACCACGTGAGGTCCCTCATAACACCATCTGTGAGGGAATTACTACACCACGTCAGGCCCCTCATAACACCATCTGTGAGGGAATTACTACACCACTGTGTTACTACACCACGTGAGGCCCCTCATAACACCATCTGTGAGGTAATTACTACACCACGTGAGGTCCCTCATAACACCATCTGTGAGGTAATTACTACACCACGTGAGGTCCCTCATAACACCATCTGTGAGGGAATTACTACACCACGTGAGGCCCCTCATAACACCATCTGCGAGGGAATTACTACACCACGTGAGTTCCTCCTAACACCATCTGGGAGGGAGTTACTACACTACGTGTTTGCTGTTCAACACCTACATTAATGTGTATGTTCACTGTATGTTCCTTTACCTTTCTCTAATGAAGGCTTTTGTTAAACCACCAATGTATGTAATAAGTCATTTATGTCCAATGTATATTTTCAGCCTTCGGGCTGCAGAATTTTTTCAATAAACCGTTAATTATTATTATTATTATTATTATTACACACACACACACACACACACGATGTTTTTTCAATGTAAAACCGATTCTACGACTTCAGGACTTTATTTCAACGCTAATTAAACGTTGAAACGGCTTTATGATTTATCCAATGCTGACTCTAAATTAACATGACATTAATGTTAAGTCCTATATTGAAAAGACGATAGGATTTTGTTGCAGCGTTGATTCTACATTTAAATGACGCACTGTACATCAGGACTTTACTCTATCGTGACGTCACGACCTTATCTTCAACGTTGATTCTAAGCTAATTTATATATATATATATATATATATATATATATATATATATATATATATATATATATATATATATATATATATATATATATATATATATATATGTGTGTGTGTGTGTAAATAAATAAAAATCTCTCTCTTTCCATGCTAACACCACGCTAAAATGACAACCCTGAACTAAGGAATTTTTACATCTCCAAAAATTTAATTAAACTCACACAGACCAATACTTCGCCACTGTTAAAAGAATCCATAATCCAGTATATTATTCCCCCGTTCTTAATTCTGTTCCACACCTTAGGCAGACAGAGGGGCGTCGAGGGGTCGCTTTGAAGTAAACAAGGTGAATTAATTTTGTTCCAGGTTTTGTCGGAGATAAAAAAAATAAATAATGGCTATATCCTCCCGCAATAGGTAAACTCCAACCGCGGTAGGTAACCTAGCCTAACCGCACCTAGCCTAACCTAACCTAACCTAACCACACGTCATCTTCATCATCAGGTGTGGGCTAGAGCTGTCCACTGGCCGTGTTCCCCGATGCCCTGATGTGACTGTCTTACCCTCAAGAGCCTTCTACCCAATAGCGTGGTAAGTTGACCTCATGGCGGGTTAAATGGGCCCTAACCTAACCTACCCAATAGCGTGGTAAGTTGACCTCATGGCGGGTTAAATGGGCCCTAACCTAACCTAACCTAACCTACCCAATAGCGTGGTAAGTTGACCTCATGGCGGGTTAAATGGGCCCTAACCTAACCTACCCAATAGCGTGGTAAGTTGACCTCATGGCGGGTTAAATGGGCCCTAACCTAACCTAACCTAACCTACCCAATAGCGTGGTAAGTTGACCTCATGGCGGGTTAAATGGGTCTCAGTATACCTTTAAATGAGACGTATATAAATGTTTTATTTTTCTTAGTGAGTGAAAGTATGTATGAATGAATCAGTATAAATAAATGAATAAATGAATATGAATAAATAAATGAATGAATGAATGAACCAGGAATGGAATTGGTGGGGGGGTGAGAGGCAGGTTAGAGAGAGGGGGGAGAGGCATCAAACATGATCCCATTCCGTGGAGACTGATTACTCCGGGAGATGAGACGTGTCACTAGCTGCTTATACAGAGTTATTACTTCTACACTTCACAGCTGGAGTGTTACCACAATAAAGAGATGGAGACTCTTTCTCAACCATATTTTTATACACTTATGCTGATTATTGTGTGCGTGTGTGTGTAATAATAATAATATTAATAATAAACGGTACTAATAGAGTTGCAGCCGGTGGCTGAAAATATACACTTATATTTTATTTAGACATAATGATATAATATTCGTTGAATACATTTACAGGGCTGTACAGTACATAAATCAGGAGTTGTTTATTATTTTAACAATAGATGGGATGGTGCTGTTCTTATATCTACCGGTGCGGGCTCTTATGGGCTGAATTTTGTTGTAGTGGCGGACTGCGTGAGGTGGGCGGGGGACTGCCGGTGGCAGGAGGTGGCAATGACGAGGGTGGTGCATTAGTTGGCTGCCAAACCTTTCCAGTGCTTGGTGGTGGAGGTCACTGAGGGATGGCATTTCCAGGGTGGAGAGAGCGTTGGTGTAGCCGGAGTATTCTGCACCGAGCATGATTTTGCAGGCCCTTTTCTGTACCTTCTCTAGCTGACGTTGTTGGGTGGAGTTGAGAGAAGACGACCAGGCTGGTGACGCATACGTTAGTTTGGGGAGAATAAAGGCGTTGTAGATGGTCCTCAGCTCTGGCTTGGGTGTCCCAAGTGACCTAAGTCTTCGTAGCATGTAGAGACGGTACGAGGCTGCCTTGACTGTGTTATTTACATGGGCCTTCCAGTCAAGTTTGTTGTCTATAGTTACACCCAGGAGTTTGGCAGACTGCACCAGCTGGAGAGGATGGGCACCCACTGTGACTGCTGGAGCTTGCACTGGAGTGGTGGCAGTGTTGATGTGCATGACTACTTTTTTGGTGTGGTTGATGGTGACCTTGTTCTCCGTAGTCCATGCCTGTAGCCTGTCCAGGGTGCCTTGTAGCGATAAGTAGTCCGGTGAGGTGTTGTCTACTGTAACCCCCACAATGCAGTCATCCACGTACTTCCACCTGTGAGGAGTGTCAGATAGAGCGCCGTTGATCAGGATGAGGAAGCACAGTGGTCCCATCTTGGTCCCCTGGGGAACACCACAGGTGAGGTGTTGGAATGTGGAGACCGAGCCCTGATACCTCACTACCTGGTGACGTCCACTCAAGAAATCAGTGAGCAGTGAGATCAGTTTGGTGGGCAGCCCTAGTGCAATAGCTTTGTTGATAACAGTACAGTGATCAACAAGGTCAAAGGCCTTCCTGAAGTTCAACAAGGGCAACGGCCAGTGATGTTTTACGTTTCTGCAAGTTTTGTATGTGTGTGTGTGTGTGTCTGTGTGTGTGTGTGTGTGTGTGTGTGTGTGTGTGTGTGTGTGTGTGTGTGTGTGTGTGTGTGTGTGTGTGTGTGTGTGTTTGTGTCTGTGTGTGTGTGTGTGTGTGTGTGTGTGTGTGTACAGAGCAAAGGTTGACAGTTGTGTAGGTAAAGTGTGTTTTAACATGTACTGTATGTTGGTGCACAGTTTCCAGTATTGTACGTACGTGTCCCACTATGTGCACGAGTTATATATGAGTGTAGTGTAGACACATTAACCCTTGTTACCCTCAGGTGGGAGTGGCGGCGGTACTTAGAGGATGACGCTCGACTGGCAGATGACCTCCTGGATGACCCCAAAGTGTACGCCCTCCACATGTGGAACCTTCACACCCGCCACGTTCCCGTTCTTCTCACCTCCCAGCAACCCTACGCCCGCGTCGCCAACGCCCACTGCCCCATCACCGCCGCCCACGCCGGCCTGCTCATGTGAGGTGGTGTATCTCACTGCTTACATTACTTGTGCCCCATACCCAGTCAAATGCTTTCGATATATATATATATATATATATATATATATATATATATATATATATATATATATATATATATATATATATATAAAATGAACAATGACCGAGATCTGGAGGAAATTATTAATAAATTTTTAATAAAGGAATGTTTTACTTTTCCCGAAAATAACAGAAATTACCTTTTTTAAAGTTATTTAGTCAACAGGGGATTAATACATTGTTCAGAGACAGTTCAATACGTAACTGGCGTTCTTCAAAGATGCGCCTCTTTATATGTTTAACATCTGATATTTTATAAGTCAACAAAATAATTGTTATATATCAGTCTGGCGAAAAGAAGAGCTGTTTCAGAGTCTGACCTCGGATTACCACAAGCTTAGGCCGGACAAAATCTCAGTCTGTTCTTCCCTCACTCTACCCCTCCGTCCACAGCACTTTACAAAATTCCATTATAAGAACTCAAGTTCCCACCAGCAGACTGAGCACCATCACCAAAATAATAAACTAGACATAAACTCACTACGTCAGGCCTCTCTTAAATCATAATACCTTGTTAGTGGTGTTATGACGTATATGGATCTAATTCTCAAGGAAATTTATGTATTAATATATTGTTATTATCAGTTATAATTATTACTGTTATTAAATTATTATCCTACTATGCCTATTATAATCATAATTATTATTAATATATCGTTATTAGTATTGCTAGTATCACCGTTATTAACCCGCCCGATTTCCATACCATTAATATAGGTAGCCACTTAGCTTCATAAAACACTCTAAACGTATTTTAAATTGGCTAAAATATTATCTCAAACAATTACAACCCATCATAACCTTAGTAAACAATATTTACATTATAATAAACCCTTACTCCAAATTCGTTTTTCTTGCGTTGCAGTTGTTTACTCCATAAGATTATATATGAAGCATAATATTATTATCACTTCAATAACTAAAACAAATAATACACAAAATGTTATATAAAAAATATCGACAAGAGTAAATCTACTTAAATACCTACAACTGTATATAGTAAAATAAAACAAAAAGATGCGGCAAGTCACTATACAACTTGTAAAACCCTGTATATGAGAACTGAGACTCACGATGTTGTAAAAATCTAGACATAAGTCAACGACCCAACCTTTACCCTTAAGTGCTAGCCTAACCCAAAGTCATTCAAATTGCAAGTGCCACTATTCCTGCGGCAACTGTTTCACTATTTAGCTGTCAGAAGCGTCATACTTTAAGATAAGTCGGCAAAGTTACAGTATTAATTCAAGCTAAATTCCGTCGAGGTGTAAATTACCCATTATTTTAGTGTCAGCGATACAGCTTCCAGGCACAGAGAGATACGAGCAATAAAACTGTACTTATAGAATTCTACTTCGATAAATTAGCTATAATATAAGTAAATAAAATAGAAACAAGATAAATAAACATAATTTTTTGGTGAATATTATGGAGAAACTTCTATATCAAGACTCTCACATGGCAGCGTCACACCTTAACAATTACTACCCAGCTAAGTGAGGTTAAAAAGATACGGTAACTAACTTGAAGACAAAGATTCATTTATCCTCACCTAACATAACACAATCTTACTGTCGGAAATGCTACCTTCACTTAGTTAACCCGTATATACAGTACTTTAAAATGGTGTCCAGATCTGAGGTGTGGTTGGCATTTAACTGCTCTACTAATATTCACAAGAAAACTTTACATCTGAACGCCTATTATTGTAATTATCACATCTCACTTGTTACTTACGTTATCTGGGCATCACTGCTGGGCATCACTGCTGGCCATGTGGTAATCTAGAAATACAAATATGAATAACCTGTAGTTTCATTTTATATAAAAAATCATTTAATGCAAAAAATATTATCCCGTACCGTGACCCATGTGCACTTGTTCCCTTCAACCTTGGTCATAAAAATTCCTCAGATGTCTTCAATTGCAAAACAATTTTCGCATTTATGAATATCAACCAATTCTCTGATGCTTATATTGCCATTTAACCATATATCAGTGTTTCACTTATAAGGATAAAGGAAAAAAATAAAAAAAATAAATCTTCACCCACCTTTAGTTCACTCTACAGTAATTCCCGCCTTAACGTGATAGGTGAATGTTGAAACTTCTTGTTCCCTATAATAACAAATGTCTTTTAATATGAAAATAAGAAGAAAATGGCTGAATACCTGAAATATTTTTGTGATAAATATTGTACTGTAAAACAAAGCAAACTATAATAAAATGACAAAGATAAATATATTTATAATGTCTTGGATTGCATAGTGTGTTTAGATCAACGCGCGACTCTGATTGGCCCCTGGACGACAGCAAATGTGCATGACTCGTTTTCATTGGTTAATTATTTGTGAGAACAAACAGAAGAACATAAGAAAATAAGGAGTCTGCAATAGGCCGGTTGGTGAAAGGAATCAATAGATAAAGTTCTTATAATATCCGAGTAGGATAGGACTCGTAGCAACGTATTTAATTTAGATAAGTTTAGGTTTAGGAGGGAGATAAGAAGGAACTATTTCACAAATAGGGTGGTGGACGAGTGGAACAAGTTGGCAACTTTGAGGTAAGTGCTGGAACGCTGGAAAGTGCACTCCGTCACGACTGTACAGGTAGTCGTTGCCCTAGAATGGTTGCCAGTTATCAATGAACGCCCAACCATTGCTTTCACAATGTTTTTCCAGTCGACACTTTATAGCAATTGCTCTGGACAGCCATTCACCGCCAACTCTTCTAGGCAAGACACCACATACTATCGGGATCCCTCCCCTATCTCTAACCTTCCCCAGCGCCTCCCTATACCTCTTGAAAAGTTCCTCACTCCTAACCTTTCCTATGTCGTTTCCTCCCACACTAAGACACACTCCTGGCTTGGTACCCTCCCCTGACAAAACCCTGTCTAACCTCTCAGCTACATGCCCTATCCCAGCCTCAGGAAAACACACCCTAGTCCTACGTTTCCTATCTCTTGCACAAACAGTCCTATCTAAGAACCTCACCTGGCTGCCCCCAACTACCACGACCTTACCACTGGGCAGGGTTTGAACAACTGCCCTTTTCTCTCCTGCCACCACATCGTCCTGCCTCTTCTCTTCCTCCAGCACCTGGTAGGGTTTACTGCACTCCACACCCTGGTCAGCTTTCCTGAGTCTGACCCTAGTCCCTTGGAGACAACCACTCTCCACGCTTCCTCCTCCTGACCCACCTGAAGGCGCTCAGTCCTGAGGGATTCTTTCTCCCCCTTTAAAACGTCTATCTCTCTCCTCAACTGCTCCAGCTGACTTAACACCATCCCTCTTCCCCCACAACACAACGATCCACGTCGGCCATTTCCTATGGTCACTAACACGAGCACTTAGGGGCACGTCCTTCTCCAAGCTAGGTCAGGTAGCGTCTATCAAGTCCAATGCACTGTATGTATTTTAGTTATATTTTTTTATGTTTTTATCGTTTTTCGTTAACCAGAAATTCTGCAACTGAGGAAAATAGAAAAATGAAACTCACAGTATGCCGACCATATCTAGTCTAACCTAACCTAACCTAACCTAACCAACCATATCTAGTCTAACCTAACCTAACCTAACCAACCATATCTAGTCTAACTTAACCAACCATATCTAGTCTAACCTAACCAACCATATCTAGTAACCAACCATATCTAGTCTAACCTAACCTAACCTAACCATAGGGTAACCTAACCCAACCATATCTAGTCTAACCTAACCTCATATCTAGACCATATCTAGTCTAACCTAACCTAACCAACCATATCTAGTCTAACCTAACCTAACCTAACCAACCATATCTAGTCTAACCTAACCTAACTGTAACTAAACTTAGACAATTATAATATAAATGAACTTGTTAAGCGATACTAAACTGGAAATAACCCTGGATGGTTAATCACCAGCAAATAAAACTCATACTAAAGTAATTTAAACAGTCGCCGGTGAGATTAGGTTAGGCATCATTGTGTTCCTATGATTTATTTTGATTATTTGTCCATCATGGAATTTCTGTTAAGGCTGTCTCCTTAGTCTTATATATTGTTCCATGTACATATACCATCGTGTTAACAAGGTCTTTTATGCAAAACATATAAATAGTTATTGCAAAATCTATTATCATTTTAGATATATTATTCTGGTCCTTATAAACACCATCATATTTGTTGCTTATCCAATATATATTAATGATTTTTGTGACGTAAATGTCCACTTTAAAAACAAATGTATTAGCGCTAAAAAAAATCCCAGAAATACCCGAAATCCAGTCGACCTGTGTCCGTCCATGGGATAATAGTGGCGGACCTTCTGTACAGTAGCTCACTGCCATACTGTCAGAATACTTACGTGAGGGACCTGACAATAAAACAGTTTGCATATGCTTAAACTTTAACGCTTCTCTTTAGTATGAGTATCGATCCTTGGTGTTGCGTCTCACTTCTCACCCGTCCTCACCCAGCCCAACCAGCCTCATCCAGCCTCACCCAGCCCTGCAATTTCCCCGTCGCGACATTCCCACAAGCTATAAGGGTCCACTCTCGTTACCTTACTCAGGGCGATCTTGTAATCACGCGGTTTGTCGAGTTCACTATCTGACGTCATACCGTAGATCAGCTGACTCGTAATTAAGGACAAGTGACAGAGAGGAAAATTAATGGTCTGGTTGAGGGAACGGTGTATGGGATTGACAGACAGACAGGCAGACAGAAACGAGGGAATGGAAAAGACAGTCATTCAATGTGTAAATGTAAAACTCAATACTGTAACAAGATATTTGCATCCTATATTTGATTGTATTATTTGTATTACATATTACATCAAATTCACCCAACTAATTCTATATGGTATAAATTTATAGAGATAACCATTAAAAATACACTCAAAATACACAAGATTAATACAGAAAACTAGAAACGGTGGATATAAACCAAAACAATTAAGTAAACAAACTGACATACCAGAAAAGACTGACAGACAGACAGTTCAGCAATGGACACC